TTAAATAAAGAGTCGAACATTACCTTCAATTTCTACAGTTTCTTCAACTGTATTCGGAATTTCTATAGATCCAACACCAATCGACAGTTCATTATTGGTTTATTCCTCCTCTTGAGGAGCTCGAACAATCCGCATATCACTTAATTTCTCCAAGGCATAATATCTTCAATAAACACGAACAATCCGCAGATTACTTAATTTTCTCCTAGGCATATATGTAATAAACAAACAACAATATTAGTAACTACCGACAACAATACTATTAATATATATATTTGACGACATCAACATATATAAATGATAACATTATAAATTAACCAATTAAGATATAAAATCTAACTACATTGTTATGTCATATCAATTTTCGTAAATATCTTCATCCATGTCATCCCGAACCCATTGGAATTGTGAACTAGTACCAGTAATAGGTTGATCTAAATTTTCATAAATCAGACTCCCCTTGATGGATTCGACACCTATCATTAGACTTATTAACCAATTTCCTCTTGAGTGCTCACAGTAAGAGTTCATGCACGCATACAATACAACACATCATCATTAGATCTAATAGAAACTTGAAGGAAGATAATGAATCCAATCTCAACTTTATAACACTAATAGTTCACCGATTAAATAGAGCTCTAAGCCTACAAAGAGATTAATTTCTTGTACAAGATTCACTTTCCTATTCATAACATTACTAACATATTAATGACAATGAGAGACACAATAACAACATTACATGCACTGAAACATCTGCACCCAAGCTCGTTTGGAGTGGCTAAAAGCCTATTTAAAAATCAAACCTAACAATCAAACAATTTATCAGTAGTCAAACAATTTATTTTCTTTGCAACCAATAACAAAAGATTCAAGAAATGATCTATCAAACCTAACATCTTCCATTCATAAATCATAACCTCGTAAATCAAAAAATCAGAGTTGATTTTGACAAATTTAAGCATACAAACACGAACAACATTATCACATAGTCTAAAAAAACCCTAATACAATGCTCCGCGTCAGAAAAAAAGAGCAGAAAATAGCACAACAGTAAACAACAACTGAGGACTAAAAGAGTATCGGATTTTTAGCCTTAAGGGGTGACTAGCGGCGTGGTGACGGTGATTGGTGGCGCAACGGTGGTCACTGGCGGCGCGACGGTGGTGATTGATGCACCGATTTGATGAGGATACACTACTAATCCAAGGAAGAACTTTAGAGAGAGAAAATATGTGCTAAAATATTAGGAATCGGGCAGGAGAATTGGGGATATATGATAAAGAATTGCACAATGGCAGCGTTTATATTAAAAACGCCACTAAGGTACATAACTATTACGGTGCTTATTAAAAAAAGCCACTAAATTACATGATTATTGTGGCGTTTATTACAAAAACACCGCTAAAGTACAAGACTAATGCGGCGTTTGAACAAAAACGCCACTAAAGTACAAGTCTATAGCAGCGTTTGTTCACAAACGCCACTAAAGTTTGAGTCTTTCGCGTCGTTTGTATTAAAACGCCACTAAAGTAAGAGTATTTTGCATCGTTTGATAAAAAAAAACGCCGCTATAAATGACATTATACAACTCTATTGCGGCGGATGTTGAAAAAAGCCACTAAAGTACTATTTTATTGTGGCGTTTGTATAGCTAAAGTACTTCTCTGTTGCAGTGTTTTTTGTAAAACAATCATTATATATGAACCCTTTTACAGCATTTTTATCTAAATGACGCTAAAGTACTCTCTATTGTGGCATTTGATGAAAAACACCACTATATTTGAACCTATTACGGTGTTTGTATAAAAACGCCGCTAAATTTACCATTTTTGCGGTATTTTGAATGGAAACGCCACTATATGTTTAAAGTTAGTGGCGTTTACTGTCAAAATGCCGCTGTAAAACAGTTTTACTGTAGTGACCCTTCATCAGTCATCCCACTATCGAGCACCGCCGTTTTCCCTTTTCGTCTCACCCCAATCTGCAAACCGTTTGAACCTCACCTCCTTCTCCGCTCTCTCGCATATGTTTTGATAGGATTTGATTTTTTGATATTATCTGGTCTGTGATAGATGAAATATGAAGCACACTGTTGTTTCTGTGCAAAATACTTTAATGCATATCTGAATCATTGTTATTGTCGCATCCCACCCAATTGCTATTGTTATGAAAAAAAAGATACGGTTATGACATATATTTTTGGTTATTCACTCTTTTTTATTCGAATAAATTGAAAAAGATGATATACAATACAAAGGAAGATTGAATTTGACAATGAGAATTCGATTAAATTTCTTCTCTGGTCATGTATATAGATTTATATAATGACTTTCAGCATTGGTGTCAACATTAAGATCATGATAGTTATTCATAAGTTGATAAGGAAAATAAATATAGATGCTAGATAATAGATTTAACTCATAAACATCACGTGAGTCTGTCAATGGTCATGTCAGAGATTGTAACTGATTGAAGGATGTCGAAACGGTCCTTAAGTTCAGATAATTCATGACTAAAAATTATTTTAAAACCCATTTTTTAAAAAATAAACTTGAGTCGTCGTCAGCCATTTAGATTATGTAAGATTGAACATATATAAAATCATCTTTTTTATAGAAAAAAATCTAACCTCATAATCTCAAATCATTATCATATTCCAATCGTCATGTTAACGTTTATCTTAGAAAACCTCCAATGTTTTAGCGAAAAAGGACGAATTTGAAACATAATGAATAATCGAGTAACCATTTTGTAATTTTTAATAGTAATAGATTTAATAAAGCAACATTCTATAGTCTGAGAACCATTTTATATTTTTTAATAGTTGAAGAACTTGATAAAGCAATACCTTATAATCGGAAGACTATTTGTGTATTTTACCCTGATTTTATGATATTTATTTATTTGATAGTTTTAAATATATATGATTTTATTCTGTTGATACTAAAACTATAAAATTATAATATAAAAAATGATATAAACTAAGATTTATCCTATAAACTTTTATATTTTTTTAAACTATTACATTAATTATATTTTCTATATTAACTATTAATTTATTTAACGAAATAAAATATTAATTTTTTTAAATAACATCTTCAGTTTGATTTTGTTATGGACGAAATAAGTTGGGATAGAAACGCCATGTCCATAATAAATTTTATAATATACGACTTAAATTGATTAGTTAGTAAAAATATAAATAATTATTAAAAAATAATATTATTATTATTTTAATTAAACTAAGTTAATTACAAAATATTATTGTTTTAAATACTCTCAATCATTTGTTTGACAAGAAATGCTCAATTACCATACTGTAATTGTTGGTGTATAAATTTATGACATCTAAAAACAATAATTTCTTTAATCACTAAGATATATAAATTTATGAATGGGATATATAACAATAGCATTATATGAATGGGATATATAAATTTATGAGGCTAAATTAAATAGGACAGATCACGTGAGAGGGTGCGATCAAGTGGCAGAAAAGGTGTGGCCATCATCGGCTGAGTAGACAATAAATACATGCAAAATTACATTGAGAATATGAAATAATGGATGTTTTGTTTTCAAGTAGAGCAGTTGAAGGGATGTTTTTCTTGTTTCTGTCCCCCTGCCATACTCTCACCTATTATAATCATATTTTATATTATCATACTATTATTATTATTATTAATGACAGATCCAGAAATATTTTTCAGCGTTGCACACATATGTTAACATATAAAAATTTTAAATAAGGCTAGAACAAATAAAATTTCATGTGAGCACTATCCGTTAAATAAGTAACTAATCGAAGAAAATTTTGATTTCAAGGTGGGTACGAAAAATTTCATGGTGAACGCTATTAATAAAATAAGTAACCAATCGAAGATAATTCGGATTTCAAGGTGGACACGTGCCCACCTGACCAAGCTGTGACTCAGTCGATTATTATTATTATTATTATTATTATTATTTGTACATAGAATTATCGACTCTATCATATGAAGCATATATATAAACAATTAAACAAAAAGATGGTACCGAGTGCAAAACACACTGCATTCTGAAATCGTTTAAATAAAGATAATATTTTATAAATTTCTACTTTAATAAAATAAAATAAATACTTCAAAAATAATCAACTTCTTGAAGGGTCACAAATTCTTCCACAATAATCATATTCCAACTTTTATAACTCATGCTTCAATAGTGGGGTCATTCCAAAATGAAAAATGAAAAAAAGGCTTAAAATTAAAACAAAATTTTAGATTAAATTTTATTATTAGCTCTTATATTATATATAAACTAAATGTTTAATTTAATTATTTTATCGGATTAATTTTAAAATTTTAATCTTGCCTCAAATAATATATATAGTACTATAATTCACATATAATACATATACTAATAATGAAATCGGGCTTATTGAATCTAATCTGGGCAGATTTGATGAGATAATGATTTAGAAAATAAAAATGGCTCATATGAGGTGTTGCAAAAATTAATTGTTGAGATGAAGTAAATGTTAGAGTGTATTTAGGAATTCACTCAAATCACTTGACGTATTTGGGAAGACACATAGGAAAGTTTGAATTCTTTAGAAATACGGATGAAAGATATAACATCTTTTCCATGCTACATACAATCCGATAACAAAAATTCTAGAAATTAAGAATCATATAATCTAGAAATCTACGTGTTATCCAGACATTTTCTAGAAGTCGCCAAATGATTCAGACACCTTTTAATAAATATTGTTACAAGCATCCTAATTGAAAAATAAAAAAAAATTATTTTTCTACCACATTATCTAAGAAATTTTACAAATAATATTATTAGCATTAAAAGTAATATTTTAGATTTGAAAAATACTTAATTATAAATTATCTAAATTAAAATATAGGGACTAAATTTATAATTTATACATAATATAATATAGGACTAATTGAAACATCTTTTTTAAGAGTCTTTAAAGTTCAATTGCAGAAAGCAAAAAAGCTTCTCATCTTCTTCTTTTTCACCATCTTCTTCTAAAAATCAACTTTTTCCCCCTTCTTTATGTCCTTTGTGTTCATCAGAAAAAGCTGGAAAAATCCCCACCACCACTTATTTCATCTAAACCCTTAGATTAACTAGCTTAAATCAATCTCCAACGTGTAATTGTCTTCCAATCAAACACCATGTTGGATTACACAATCTCACCTTCTCCACTTCCATGTTCTTCGTCTGATCCTATCGCTCCTTTCCAAAACGGCGTCACTCAGAAAAGAAAAAGAAAGCCGGCAGGCACCCCAGGTAAAAAACAAACAACTTTACCTAAATTGAATCGGTTTGTGATTCTGACGTGTTTGATATTATGTTTGAGTTACATAGATCCGGATGCAGAAGTGGTTTCTCTGTCTCCACAAACGTTGTTGGAATCAGACAGGTATGTTTGTGAGATCTGCAAGCAAGGGTTCCAAAGAGACCAGAACCTTCAAATGCATAGGAGGAGGCACAATGTTCCATGGAAGCTACTGAAGAGGGAGAGTAGTGATGAGGTGAAGAAGAGGGTGTTCGTCTGCCCAGAGCCGAGCTGCTTGCACCATGATCCTTGCCATGCTTTGGGGGATCTGGTCGGCATAAAGAAGCATTTCAGAAGGAAACACAGCAATCAGAAACAGTGGGTTTGCGATAAGTGCGGCAAAGGGTACGCTGTTCAGTCTGATTTCAAGGCTCATCTCAAAACTTGTGGCACCCGAGGCCACTCTTGTGACTGTGGTCGTGTTTTTTCCAGGTCAGTTCTGCTTTTTTTATGTTTTGTTTCTTATTAAAACCCTAAATATAGGAAAGAATTTTTTTAACATTGAGTATTGTCTTTGTTCTTGTTGGATTCTCATTATCTTCAAAATCCAAGATTGATTTGCTCAAGTTCCCATTTTTGTTTGGCTTACTTTTATATTGCTTTGTTCCTTTTTAGCCCTACATGAACAAGTTTTGATTGTTTCCTTGATTAGTATCGTCCAAAAAAATTATTAATCATTTAATAATATAGTAATCAAGGTTTTAAAAAACGGTCCGTGACCGCGATTTCGGCCGCGATATAGCGGTTTCGTCACCGTCCGAGTTACCCGCGACGGCCGCAATAGTCGACCGTAATCACGATAAATCCGAAATAACCGAAAACGCTACCACGAACGCGATTTGAAACCTGATAGTAATACATGTTTTGAATCTTTCATTTGTATACCTTTTGTGATTTAGAGTAGAGAGATTCATTGAGCACCAAGATGCTTGTACTGTTCGGCGAATTCGTCCGGAATCGCAGGCGGCGCTGCAGCCGGCATATGCGTCTCGAGTAGTGTCGAGTGCTAATCCGTTGACTGATATGAACTTCGGCATAGCCCCCACGACGGCGACGCCGTTGCTTGGATTGCCAATGCTAAGATCAACTGAGCCGGTTTTCTTGTACAGTCATGCGTCTACAGCGAATTCCAACCACCGGCACCACGGCGGCCTTGAACTTCAGCTACTTCCATCATCAAACACTCACGGCTTGAAGCTATCAATAGGCTCAAGCGACGGTTCTAAGAAAACTGAAGGAAACTGGCTGAGTAATGCCAGTGGGACGGCATTCGAAGCTTTGAAAGAGGTGGCCATGGCGGAGAAGGTTTACGCGGAAAAGGCCAGACAAGAAGCTAAGAGACAAGTGGAGATCGCCGAGCTCGAGTTCTCAAGTGCGAAGAGGATAAGGCAACAAGCGCAAGGTGAACTGGAGAAAGCTCAAGTGTTGAAAGAGGAGGCGACGAAGAAACTGAATGGTGTAATCATGCAGATCACTTGCCAAGCATGCAAACATCAATTTCAAACGGCGGCGGCTGCGGTTCCGGCCGATGAGACCTCACTTGCAATGAGTTACATGTCTTCTGCCACAACGGAAGGGGAAGGAGAGTGAATCGACCCTTAGTCCCTCGGATAATCACACTGTGCCTTGCCTTGATTGTTTCAGAATCAAACGGAAATGAAGAAAATCAACCCTTATTTTCTCTATGTTTCAAGAAACTTGGTAAATCTCTTACTTCTGAATTGCATGCCATTGTGTTGAGTTCCATATTTTGTGGCTTTGGTAAATATCATATTACAACTGTTATTTTGTTTAATAGATATATCAACTGTTGTTTAAATATGAGAAAGGGTGTTAGATAGTATCATTGTTTCATCTTTTATCTTTCCCTAATTCAGCTCTTTGATCAGTATACTTTACCTTTTTGTCTCTAACCTTTAATGATATAAAAGAAGCCTAAACTACAAATTTAATCATTCAACTATTCATATTATTTAGTTTTGGCCAATCAACTGTTTTTTTAACGTTACGTCTTAATCGCACGCCGTTAAAAAAATAACAAGGGATTTTGTTATGTCACCATAAGATCATATCGCGTCATCATTGAAAATGTAAGAAGGTAAATTATATATATAGTTACCCAACCACCACTTTGGTTCCGTTTTGATCACTTAATCAAAACATAATATTAGTGATGATTTTGAGAAAAAAATAATTTGGTGACTAAATACGTAGTTTACCCAAAATTAGAAATATCAAGTCAAAATTTCTATAATTTTTTAACAAGTAGTGACCAAAATGTAACGTTGTGGATGATTTTAAAAATCAAATAGTAGAGTGATTAAAATAAAATCAGTGGATTATAATAATTGAGCAATTAAATATATAGTTTATCTAAAAAGAAATGAGAGATATAGGACCATGTTTTAGCTAGAAAATAGGAAGAACAATTCAAAGAGGCAATGGGCGAATTCAATGTTTGGAGAAAAAAATGAAAGGGAAAGAGAGAGTGGTAGAGAAGGGTCGTTTTCATAGCATTTGTAAGCCCTTAAACGGTGATAAAACGCCATGTTTTTCAGTGCCAATGGTCCATCTCAAACATTAACAATTTGTATAAACAATTTATTACATATGAAACCATAAACTCTCTCTCTCACTCACTCACTTTTACGGACACACACTTTATCAGAGTTGCAGTGTTAGCAGAGGGACGGACAGAGAGCCTTTTTCAATAAATTTCTTTGTATCCAAAAATAAATGACTACCAGTTCAAGCACCACTTCTTTTTTCCTACTCAGAGAAAAAATGTAAGCTTAAATCGAGGTCGTTAAATTATGAAATTAATTTTATTTTAGTTGTTAAATATTTATTTAATTAGACTATTAAACTTGTTCAATGTAGTTTAAACAGTGGAACAAATAGAAATCACAAACAAAATATATTAATCAACATAATCATATTAATTATTAGATCATATTTAAAAGCCATTCAGAATATTAAGATATAGATGTTACAATCGTGCATAGATGTTGATGCATGCTAATGATTTTGTAAGTTAACAATGATCGAAAGGTGAGATTGGCGAAATGCAAGAAATACAAGGACTATATTGATGAAATTAAAATTGAGGGGCAAAGTTGATAATTTAAGACCATTAAAGTATCCTTAAGCCTAGGTTTAATTACCCAAATATTAGAAAGGTTTTAATAATTTACGAAAGTGAGTAATGTTCTGTGTAGTTGATTAATAATTTATGTAATGGGACCATCACATAAAAATATCGCAAACTTTATAATAACTTATATAGTTTGATTGTAACACCCTAACCCGTACCCGATCCAGATACGAATTCGAGGTGTTACATTGACTTTTAAAATATTGACTCTTAAAAAGTGGGGTAAATTTTAAACTTTTATTCATATTAAAATGGTGGAACCCTTGCATTAAAGTATATAATGAAAATTTGCATTCATACTTAAATAAACCTTAATAATTACATAAATACAAAAGTATAATTTTACAAAATAGACCAGAGCATTCCAATTTAAACTTGTAGTACATGCCAACAATTTACAAATTTAGAAACCTACATTTAAATTGTTCTGATTTGATCTTTGCGAGAGTATGTTGTCCTCTTCAAGCTTCAAGCTTCTAATTTCTTCAAACCTACTTGTGAAACATTCACACGCTAAGTCGTTGACTTAGTGAGGCAAGTATGAGTTAAACAAAACTTTATAAACGAAATCTTTATTCATTTATAAGGGATTTAAATTTCTTTTCGTAATAAGAATGTATAGTTTTATACTTTGTTCGATTTATATAACTTTATTTTCAAATGCCCAACGTATACTACTGAGAACTCTAGGTATTTGAGTACATTGAGGTTGTGCACTAATGCTGTCACCACAGCTCATATAATTTGCACCGAAGTGCCACATATTTGTCCCGAAGGACCACATAGAACCCTTGATTATTAGCATGCCAACTATACCTCTAATCCTCATACATATACCTTGGGCTTTTAACCACATAATTATTCATTATTTCGTCATTCAAAGTATATCTTGTTTACATAGACACTTTCACATCGAGTAACTTCGTATACACATATTCGCATGTCACATTTTCATAATCATATATCCATAAACATCAAAACATAAATTAAGTATAATAACTTGAATAAAACATTGTAAAAATAGAACATAAAATAAATATAAAGGTTTTCGATCGAAAACTCTGAGGTTGGCTTATCGAAAGTCGCCCTTAAATCTAATATAAAACAAATGAGTTGCACTCACCTTTGCCTCACGTAAGTTCTACAAAAAAAAACTCTATCAATCTTGGTTGATAACTTATCATGTCAAATTGTCTAGAATTTGTCTTTGTTCAATGTCTACACAAAAACAATCGAAAATGAATATCACAATTCATATTGCTTATAACCAAACATAATAACTTAAGCTGAAAGAACGCTTAATTCATCATTTCAAGCACACTAGTATCGGTACTTCTCCTATAGTATTGATTCTTCCCTTCTATGGTATCGATACTCACTTCAGTATCGATACCATTATGGTATTATGAAATTTTAAACTTGATAATGGTATCGATACCTTACTCTTGGTATCGATACTCCCCTTTCAGTATCGGTACCTTCTTCAAGCAGTATTGATATTGATCCTCGAACTCAAACTAATTTTGCCTTGAAGTATCAGTAATGTTCTTCCAGTACTGATACCCTTGCCCAGAAATTACCATTTTTATTTCAAAAATTAACCAAAACTTACTTAAATCTCCCACTTTTATCTCTTTTTATGTCTTTTAATTCAACTACTCTTATCAAAACCAACTTATATCACTCCTAACCATCCAAAATCCCACTAAAACACTTGAGACTAAAAATCATACCTTAATTTCAATCATGTTCTAAATCATTTCTAATACTTCAAACACTTTAATTTGACACTTGACAAGTCAAATATGCAATTAGAATCCACTTACTAACCATATTTCATAACTTCACTTAAAAACTCATTTTACTAATCCATTGATAAATCACTAATTTCTTAGTTTTAATCAACCTTAAGCTTTCCTTAAACTTATATATTACTCAAATACCACAACCAAACCAAAAAAATTCAAGAAATCATCAACTAAATCTTACTCTCCTTTGAAATGGTTTCCACGAGCAATGAGGAAGAAGATAACTAAGGTTTCCAGACTTTTCCTTTCTCTTCCACGTGTTTTATATCCCTTAAAAGGGAAGATAAAAATCCTTCATTTGAAAAGTCCATAATGCCCTTCCAAGATTCCAACTTTGATATCAAATCCTAAACAAAAATTTCCAAATAAATCATACTTTTCAAGTTATTTCAATTAAACCACTAAATTTTGAATTCTTACATTTTGGTCACTAACCCGATGATTGGGGTGTTACATTGATGATATTTTATTATATCTATTTTTAATTTAAAATTATTCTAGTAACATTATCTCAGAACTACGGAAGACATGATAGGATAACAATTACTTCAATTAAATATATTTATTTAAAAATATTAATATTTAAAATATAAATAATATATTTTCAATATAAGAACGCATTAATTGTAAAAGGTTTTAATTATAAAAATACATTGTCAAATATATTTTACAAAAAGTGTTTACCGTTAGTTAAGTATGATTTTCATCCGGTTCGAGGTTATTTTGATCTAAAATAAAACTTGGCGAGTTAAAATATTTTTTAAGAAAATAAATAGACCAGAATAAAACGTTAGAAATGAATTTTGACATTTATTTGTCTTTAGAGTTTCACAAAAAGTATAATAAGGAATCTTCAGCTCCACTGCGGTTGACCACTAGCGTCAGTGGACACAAAAAAAAGGAAGAAATTACCTTCAGAGAAAATAATTGTTTTATAGATATAAACATTTATAGTAACATAAAAGTAGCTGCTAAAAGAATGGATCTTCTCAAGTAAAATGATAAAAGGTTCTTTCAAAAAAAAAGAAAAGTGTAAGCATAACAACAACCTGAACAAGTCTGTCTCATGGTGTTTAAACAGTAGAGCCCAAATATTAAAAACAGATGAGGCCTACAAGTTAATCTCATCGACGCAATTTTCTAGCAAAATCTACCGAAAATCAAAGAAAATTTTCTGACAAATGGATGTGATGCAGGACCATAGTTTTATAATATTTTATTTTAGTTAAGTATTACATATTTTGAACAGCTTAGGGCTAATAATAGAACTTACAAGAAAAGTAGCCATGTTTGATCTTCGTTACTAATCATCTGTTCAGCTTTATTACTCTTTAATTGTTGTTTTTCTCCCTCTACTACGGTCCAAATCAGGATGGAAATTAAATAAAACCTGTTGTTACTCGCACTTGATAGACCATACTACTAAATTGCGGTTGTGAGTGTTGCGATGATACGGCGTGATTTTTTCCTTAAATATAACTATATTTTATGTTGCGGTTGTGGTTTGCGTTGTCACGGTGACCTTGAAAAACGTTACGATACATCTGTTACACTACGTTACGACCTCAATTTAATACTATGTGATAGACCCGTATATAGGACAAACAAAGAGTAGCGAGGCGCGGAAACCAACTGTCCCGAGAATGAGGAAGAATCCATAGCAGATGCAGGCCATATAACCAAAGAAAGACGAGGTTTGCATAAAGCCAGACATGTCGGATTGAGCGTAGTAATAATACAAGCAGTAAGCGTAGATAAAGACACCGGTTGATCCGCCACAGATGAAAGACCTGTAACAAATTTTATGATATTTTACCAAGTACAAGGCTGAAAAGCAACAGACAGGTGAATGCAGAATTAGAGAACTTGTGTACCTCCACCACCATTCATGATCTTCAGCAGCGAGATGGGAATGTCAAAGCCACGGTTATAAAAGCAGTAACAATCGGAAGGATGATGAAGACAATAAACAAGATGCTGTATATGGTATAGATCCTGTGGCCCCAGACACTAGCGAAAATGTAGTAAAGCTCGATATAGATAGCACTTTTTTTTTTGAACATTCGATATAGATAGCACTAAATGGAAGAAATCCGGCCGTTGCCATCTGAGGAATGACACTGCTGTACCAAGGCAATGGTGGAATCTCTCGAGGATATTTTGTGGTGTGGCACGGAGCTTGGAACTCAGCCTTGCTATTTTTGCCAGCAATCCCACCCAGAACAAGCAATGGAGATGTCACTATTGTCCATATAAGGACTATTACTACAATAGTTCCAAAAGGTAGCACCGCAGTTGCACTGTATACAATAGCAAACGTGTTAAGGAAGCAGAACGTTAGAAACAACGGATCACAGAAAAGGCAGCCAGTCAAAAACAGATTCCTAACCTGTCATTCAAAGAAATGATATAAACACATTAGCCCAGCCGAAATTATAGCAGCATCACATTTAACATTTCAAACTAGCAGATAAACTTCATCTATACCTACCCAGTTGTTTCCTTCAAGCTGACAGTAGAAAGAAGTTGCAGTATATCCTGCAATTCCTGATGTAAGTGCATATATGAGCATCAGGGTAGTGAATAGAGCACCTCGATTGTAAGGATAAAAGACACCAACCAATGCAAGCATGAAAATGAAGACCGTTCTGGTAATCATACAGAGGTTCAGAAGAAATTAGATAAGAGGAACATCTTTCTATGACTATAGATCACAAAGTGATAGCTCTAGTTCACAAATCTTAAGAAACATAAATACCAAATAGTGGGATCCATACAAAGTAAACAGCTGTGTTCCAGATCCAAGATAAGAAGCAAATAAAGATCTGCACTTTGGGAATCGAATTCATCTCCATGAATATGCTTCCATCCAGTTTCCTCTTGATCATCAGCTGCTGCTTCGTCTTGGCCATACCTTCCATAACAGATCAAACATTTACAGAAACCAACAACAAAAGAGAAAAAACAAAAAATATGAGAAAATGTACAAATAGATGATAGGTCTCACTTAATGAAATCATTCTTCAAGACTCGAATGAGAATCGTTGCAAGGAAACCAGTCAAAAGGAGAACCAATGAATCTCCAAATGATGTGGCAAAGAAGAAGACATGTAGTACTTGTCCATCCTCTTCCCGAAAGGAGTATCAGTTTCCTTCCATTTCATATAATACATAAACTCGGCACCGACTTCCTTATCCTCGGTCAAGTCGGCAAGCGAATGAGGATCCATCCTTGCATTGACCTCAGTAAAACGGTCTTTGTTATAAAGGACATCAAATTGGATATGCTTGAAAAAGAAATACTTGTACTCCCTCGGATCAGTTTTGCCTTCCTTATCAACTTTTCCAATAAAACCCCAGATTGGCAAATCATCATAATACATTTGGAAATAATAGTCCTTGACTTGTCAACAGCCTTTCGAAAATACGCAACCTCTTCTTTCCAGAGCTTCTTCGTACAAACAACAGAAGAATCTCTTTCCTCTTTAAAATTCAATTTATAAGGAGCACTGACAAGTCGATCTCCATTCAAAACCTCACCTAAAGCTTCTTTCTTCTCCGTTACAATATCTAAATTCCATCGGGAAATTATAACATTTTAATGAAATCGAAATTAAATTGGTTATGATAAACAAATTTAACAAAAAATTAAAAGCAAAAAAGGAGCCTCGAGAACAGAATGGCAGATCAAAGTAGCGTAGCGATAGGTTTCACTGGAAACAAACAAACCAAATTAAAAAAAAAAAAACTAGTAATTTAAAGGGGAAAAACCAAACAAAATGCCAAACGCGATGAGCTTCGAATTCAGTTTAAGCTAATTTAAATGTTCCAAAAACGAAATCACGAAATGAAAAAAAAGCATTACGATTCGGTATGCGAACGATAAACAACTTTCAGATCTAAACTCAATCGTTGTCAAATAGAAACATGAAATGATAGGACTACCTGGGGTTGTAGAAAGGCCAACCTTGTTGGCGTAAAGAGGGACAAGTTCACCGTCTTTGTAACGGTGATCGGAAGCGTCAGATCTAACACATGAAAGACAATTGAGGATCAAAAGTCCGACGAATACGAACGTCGTAAAATTGCCGATGTTTATCATTTTCCGGTGAGAAAAAAGATTAGGGGGAAGTTAGGAAATCTAAAACGGTAGAGCGTCGAAAAGAGTTGCATGAAAGAAGAGGTGGTGGAATAGGATAAAGTAGACAATAGGCCACTAAAGTATGCATAAATGATATTTTGCTCAAACTCTTTTCAAATATTTCAAAATAATCCTTAACCTTCCTAAGCGCTTATAAAACGGTGCCCTTCAACGTTAAAATAGTAATAAATTTTGATAAGTCTAAGGATAATTTTATGATAATTTGATAAATTTAAAGATATTTTCTAACAAACTGATAAATTGAGATGACCATTTTGTAATCATTTGAGAAGTTCAATGACAATTTTATAATATTCAAAAAGTCACTGACTAAAAAGCTCAACGATATTTTGGGCATATTTTTCAAACGTATGGGTATGATATATATGGTAAAAACTTTTCGACCATTTTAAGATTATATGTTGATTGACTTTCTTTTTAAAGGAAAAGACTTCATTTCCAATTTATTTTGTTAAAGTTGAAGAGGACTTCCGGTTGGGTTTTAAAAATCATTTAGCACATAACTTTAGCGACCAAGTTTACTTGACAAGAAACCAACAGAAATAACAAAACTGGAGCAAGTTGGCTGTGAAAGTAATAAAATAAAGAAATGGAGATTTTAAAAAATTTCCTTATTTTCTTTATAACTTTGCAGCTATAGCTGCAGCTAGGACATTCTAAAGTTCAACTGCTAGGCACATTAAAAGGCCTCAAAAACATATGAATCATCATCCCCCATAAATATAATGAGAACATAACAAAACTTACTGACCCCTACTTCTACAATGAAGATTCCAATATTATCTACCTTACTTCATCAGATGGAAATGCTGCAAGTAGTTTATCTCACCATCTCCATATTTCCCCACTGCTCACAAATACATGACACCGAGCTTCTTTTCAAAGTCCTCGCCGTCTTCCTCCTCTATGTATTCCTCTTCGGGGTCTGCATTTTCACCCTCGTAGTTATACTCCCCTTCATCACCCTCCTCATAATTATACTCGCCTTCATCCCCCTGGTCATCTGCATCATGATTGTGATTTTCTGTTGTCACGTCCCCAATTGTCCCGTCCTCATTCTCAAGCTTGTGTATGTTTAGTTGAGGAGATTTGCCATGAGCAGCTTCTGCAGTGCCAATGTCTGCAGATGTAGACTTGGATTGATCCTTTCTGTTGGCCTCCTCCAGTGTCAATGAAACTACTGTGTTAGTGGAGCTGCCATTCAAGCTTTCTTTGCTTTGTTTCTGGTTAACATCTTTGTGTACCGATGCTATTCCACTTCCAGAAGCTGTAGGTTCAGATTGCCTCTTTCTCTTCAGAATCTCTCTAAGAGACTTTGGGCCATCAAATGAAATATCACCTTCGGTTTGTTGACGACCCTCTATGCTCTTCCTCTTTCCAAGAGAAAGGAGTTCATTATCAGTATTCTTACAAACTTTCAGCTCTGCAAGCCGTTTTGGACCAGCAAAATCAGCATTCATCTCATCCATTATTTCTCGTCCTATTCTTGAACCCCCAAACCTTCGACCATCTTTATTGTTGTATTCCCCTTCCACCCTTACTTTTATCCTGTCACGAAGCCTCCCCTGGCGGGAGGTAGTATGTGGCTTTCCTGGTGAGAGTCGACCACAGTTTCGCTCCCTTTCTATCCGTCTTTCAGAACATGAGTCAGTCCCATTACCTAAAGATCTTCCTGGAAGCTTTATTCTACCCCGAAGACGACTACTAAAATGATGTGTGTCTCTGAGAGAATCACAGTAATTTTCCTCCCTTTCATGGTTTTCTAGGGCATGATCCTGATTGAAAACAGACCTCAGGCCATTAACCCGCCTATGCTTAGATAATCGATGCCTTAGGTCTGACTCCTCAACACGATCAGGACTATGAACTCTGGTGTAGCCTCTTCTTTCAAGAGTGGAAGGTCCCAGAGATATCCTCTCAGATGAAGCTCTCCGTTGGTTCCATCCATAGTTCCCTTGCACATGGTCCAATGAATCATAGCCAGGCCCATCAAGAAACATATCTCGGTCAACATCAACTATGGCATCATAATTAGTAGCATGACCAATGTCATACTCATTCACATTCCTTCCCGCATGTCCTCTTGCACCTCCATATCTCTCTTCACTGTGGTAGAAATCAGAATCTCCATGTTCATCATCCACAATAACATCAAAACCAGGAGAGGACTCCCTCAAAAATTCGTCAGTCTCCTTACCATCATGACAACTCGGTTCATCTGAAACATGGAGTTGATGCAAGCGATTGGAACGACCCATGGCACTACCATTTACAACTGAGGTAGTGTATGTTCCTTTACGTTGAGGAAGTTCCTCATCCATGCCGGACGGATGTGGCACACTTCTCCCAACAGTAGTATCATTCCTAGTCGAAGCAGCTCCAACTTTCGGGGCAGGTTTACCTTCAGGATGTACTCCAACTGTCTTTGAAACATTAGTTGGGAGAAACTTGTGCAACTGAGATGATTCAGCAGCACCAAAAGTCTTCTGATAAGAATTAGGTTCGGTAGCAGTGATATTTGCAGCTGGCTGAGGAACATTATTACTCACACTTGTACCATGCAATGCAGCTGGCTGAGGGGATTTATTACTCGTACTTGGACCATGCAGAAAAGCACACCAGTCACCTTTTAAGCAAAGCCCCTTTTGGAAGAAAACACATGGCACTGCTTGTTTTCTGGGATTGTAAGAAACACCCTGGTTATAAGCAGTTGGCGTTGGTGTCACAGAGATATGTGACGAAGGCATGGAAGAAGCAGCTGGAGCTGCTACTTGGGTTCCCAGGAAACCATCAAGGGGCTGAAAAGACAGCATCAAAACAAACAACTATTAAAACTAGCACATAACAATATCGATACTGATGGTGAAAGAGAAGTGAAGAAACTCACAGGATGCCGAAATCCGCAGTTCTGGTTCATGCAATTACCATTCAGCCAGTAATAACAATCCCTTGGGTTAATCCGAGCATATTCGCTATGGCGATATTCGCATTCACTTCCCTATTGGCACAAAAAAGAGAATGAATCTAACAGAATCCAAAGACTATTGATGACAGAAAAAAATGCATTGCAATACATCAGATACGTCCATTGCATTTTAGAAATTAATCATAGCACAACTTTACACTATCTAAAATTAATTGGTTATTTTAAACAAAAATGATGCAGAAAATAAGATGATTACACACATTTAATGGCATAAATTTTGAAACAAAAGCAATAATTTTCATGAACCTAAAAGGAACATCAAGGGAAAGATTCATTACATTTCCTGATGAAATGCACGGAGGATTTTACTCAAGATCTAACCTAAAAGGCGCTAAAAAAAAGTTCACTTTCCAACTAAAATCAACATATATTTTTCACCCAAAGTTACATAAACAACTAAACAAAGAGTCGTTAAAATAAAGGAAAATAGATGGGTAAACCTGAAACGTTAATTGAAGTATAAAATCAAGATCCCCAAAAAAACAAGATCTTATTTGAAACCCTAAAACCCTTTTCAAAAAAGGAACCTTTTTGCAGGTTAAAGGTGAGGCAAGAAAGTAAACGCAATCTGTGTTCCTCTTCAAGGTCTCTTCTTCGGCCGATGTATTTGTAGCCCCCGCCGTAGCTGTCGCTGCAACCGCATGTTTATTCTGTTGCTGCTGCTTTTGCAACGTAGCCACTATCATGGCGGATTCTTTAACAATATATCAAATCCCCAAATCGGAGAGGAGAGAAGATATCATTCCTTCGCCAGATCGAAATTTACAGAAAGAGACCCAAAGAAGAGATTGGGGTTTGATATGATTTAAAAAAAAAAGAGCCTAAGCTAAAGCTTGTATTTTTAAAAGGCTTAATATAAAAATAGTTCTAAAACTATATTTAAAATTAATTTCTGATTACCATATAATTTTTCGTTGAAAATAAACAATTAATATTTTTCTACTACTTTTAAGTTTTCACCGTTAAAAAACGGTAGGTAACATGCGACATGTTTAAAAAAAATATTTTTGAATAATATTTTTTAAAATATATAAATATAATAATTGTTACTTAACGATTTTTCAACAGTTGATACTTAAAATTATAATATAAAAATATTAGACACTTATTTTTAACGAAAAAAATTATTGAGAGACCAAAAGTCAATTTTTTATTAATCTAGGAGTAAATACAAGATAATATCGATTCAAAAATAATTTTAACAATTTAACATTGAACGTTTGCATCTATGGCATTCCTCGTGCTCAAACCCAGGATCTCAAGAAATAACAACAATTCTTTTACTACTTAGGCCGCTCGATTCGTGCCCAAAAGTCAATTTTAAATATAATTTAGACACTTTATTTTTATTATTAGAATAGAATAAAGGATAAATACCAAAATAATCACTTTGTTTCATATATATATTAACTTTTGGTCATTAAATTAAAAATAAATGATTTAGTCACATACATTATTGAATTATAACATTTTGATTATTACAACGTTACACATCATTATTTTAATGATTTGACGTATTAATGAAAAGGGATCGATATGACTTTTAAATTTTTATAGATACTAATTTAATCCTTAAATTTTGATAAAATATCAATTTGACTCTAACTAAAATATAATATCAATTTAATCATTGAGTCTGATTAAAATTCTTCATTGTTGCCCCTTCTCACCACTCTCGCTATCGATTACTGGACCTCAAAATTTTAACCAACTCCTTTTTGATCACCTAAACGTGAATAACATATTCATTTTCATTAAAAATGCCCTCAAATTTCATACAGCAAATCAGTGATTGCTTTTGAACGAGCACATCACAAATTTCAGGCAACCTTTTGATTTTCCTTTCGCTGATTTCGTATTGAAAATAGGTTCCCTTGTGACTGAGTTTTTAATCTCAAAGAAGCTATAACTTATGCCTATTAACCCCATCGCCCTCTTTTATGCACTTTACAACTTGTTCCCATGGCGATACAAATGTATACCTCAACATTTACAACTCTGGTTAACGGGAAGTTTTATGCCAAATAAAGTTTTGTTTAGTTTTCATAGTCGAATAACAAAATTTTATATGCCAAATCAACATAACATTTTCTGTCAAGAAGAAATCGAAAAGGAGGATGCAAGTCAAAGTGATTCTTTACTTTGGAGTACGCTCTTTCCGAGAAAAAAAATTAGTTGAAGCATATTGTATTTCACTGGGTTTGTTATGCTTATGTGGTTTAAAAATATTTTTGAGGATGATAATGTACATATTAATAATAAGAAAAATGCATGTTTGGATATTAACAATTTATCTTATTTTTTTAAAACACGCTGGCCCAACACGAGGCACAGGGCGAAGGCCTTTCGTGACGAGATGACTTTTTTATTCAATGTTTTACTATTTTAAAGTTAATTATATTCACACCCTACATTTCACATATTTTGACAATTTGGTCCTGCCAAAAGGCCTACATTTCTACTTTTTGATTAACTTAGATGAGATGCATTTAACTCATGCCATTAATATACCACTAGATTCATGCATTTAACTCCTGCCATTAATATACAATTGGATTCATGTATTATACATTAATGAAACTTGTGTATTCTCTAGAACAATGCTTTAATTCCTGCCATTAATGTGGCTCGTGTTTTTTTTTTTTTTTTGGATAAGTTTCATGCAATATATTGTTCAAAAGAAAACAGCAAAGCTGCTACAATAGCACCTCAACAAAACTAACAAAAACAATACCAGCCTTCCCAACAGACAAAACCAACCCTTACAAAAATACCCCAATCAATATTAGGGAGGGTCAAAATACCTGAATTTGATGAGTCTCAACCCAACTCGACTTTATAGGGGTGAGTTTTTTATATAAAATTTGGGGCTTGGGCTGGGTGGATTCTATAAAATTTTGGGACGGGATTAGGTCGGGTTTAAGACGAAAAATCACCGACCGGATTATTATTATTATTATATATATATATTAATTTTTTTATATTATTAAAATAAATTAATTTAACCATTTAAAATATAATAAACAATTATAAATATATTATTATAAAATATATTATTTTAAAAAATTAAAATATTCAGGTTTAGGTATATGTTTTGGTCGGGCCGGCCAAAAACCCGACACGCCCCGCCTTTACCATCCCTAATCAATACATAGAGTTATATAGACTCTATCAGCCCTGTTTATAGGTAACCTGCTCAATTTTATCCTAACCAATTCTTTAACACATTCAACAATTGAATTAATAGCGCGACTATTAGACCTAAACAAGCGATGATTAGGCTCCTCCCATATGCAATACAAAAATGATGTCCAAGCCAACTTAAGAATATGGACAAGAAGAGAAACACTCTTCAAATTATCAATCGCCCCAAGAAACTCATCCCAACACAAATCCCTGCGATGCAATCTGCAAACACTCAGAATCTGCCTCCAAACTCCCTGGAAAACGAGCACTCAACAAAGAGATGACTTCAGGATTCCATACCATCACCACACAAAACACATAGACTGTCAACAATAATCCCAAACCGAACCAGCTTGTCCTTAGTAGGTAATCTATCTAATATAGCCATCCAAACAATGATAGAAAGCTTCCATACATGAGAAGGAAACCAAATAAACCTATGCCATTTCACCTTATCTCTTGGAACACTAATTTTGTTTCAAATCCACTTACAACTAATAATGCTCCAATCCAAACCAGTACCAAACAGAGCCCACGGCTCACCCCTTAGCTTCAAAACCTTCCCTAGCAACAACAGCAACAAAACCTTATTCCCATATGCAATGGGGTAAGGGGGAGGTAGGGTAGTAGGCTTGCACACAACCTGCCAAAAATCAACAACCTTTAATCCCTAAGGCGATAGAAGCGTGTACCTAGTACCTCTGTAGAAAAGCCCCCAAAGCGTGTGCTTGAGAGGGCTTGCACGCAATGTCATGAATTCCTTTCTTCTTCTTCTTCTTCTTTTATTTTTATGTATATTATCTCTTTCTAGTCTCAATCATAACATACTACATACATATTATGTTTCTGGTGGAAGATGCACGAGAGCAACAAAACACCCCTTTTATCCCTAAAGCGATAGAAGCGTGTGCCTAGTGCCTACGTAGAAAAGCCCCCAAAGCGTGTGCTTGAGAGGGCTTCTCGTTGTGCGTTGCACTTGTCTTTTTAAAGGCATTTTACTTCGAGCCCATCTACACCTGGCGCCTTAGGCGTGCTTTTGAAAACTAAATAATTTATTGAGCTCAACTTGATTTATTTAGGTAGAAGCATACACCTTATATTCAAACTATAAACACAAATTAACAACTTATCCGCAGATTGATATAACAAATATGATGAACTCTCAAAAAAGAAAACAGGGAAAAAAAGCCATTGAAGTAACCTATACAAACACATCCGTAGCTACTGGACAGTCCCCCAAGGAAAAACCTGCCAAAAAGGTTAGCTTAGAGTCGATATTTCCTTTCTTTAGCTTACATCTAGGCAGAGGAATAAGCATTTTCAGAAGCATACCGATAACCGATTTCTTCATAAATAAGAGAAGTTATAATCCTTATAACCAATCACCAGGGAGGTAATATATAATAAATAAGGCAATGTACTGAGGAGACCTATGCAAATTTAGTTCTTGTTGCTGCTTCGACTGGAATTTTGTTTTCATTGTGTGCTGCGCGTTAACCCAATTCGAGATACATTTCTGCATAAATTTGAGAAATTTTCAGTTCTATTGAATGTCGGTATTTCTTTTTGGACAATATACTAACCATGAAACCAAGGAAAAGCAAACTAACATGTCGGCATTTATCGATTACAGGTCTCAAAATTCAGTCAAGCAAATCATAGGAGATCAATTAGGCGAATATTAAACATAATTAACAAGTGGATTCATTTTGAATTTAATCACTGCGATATGAAGTACTGAATAAATTACAATGAATCCTATCAGACAAAAAAACACTGACGGGGCTGAATTAGAGCAACAACTATTGGCTGTTACTCAGACTTGGGTGTGTGTTCGATGCAGAGATGTCCGATCTTTTTAGTATCCCAATTCTCATGCCCAACTATGTGTAGGACAATATTTCAAGAAAAAAAGAAGAAGAGTCTGAGAAACATAGACTCTTGCAACAAGCAAGTTGTTATGGTTAGAGAGATTACCAGGGGACCTAAAGGTTTCTAAATACAGGGACAACAAAGATGAGATAAGTATAGCTTATAAGCTGGTTCAACATGACCGGAAAAAGAAAACATTGAAGGATAATGACACTTCGTCAAAGCAGGGGTGGATGCACTAAAAGCCCCCTAGGGGGCCAAGTGCATCCCATTATTTAGGAAAAAAGTGAAATTTAGTATAATATGTTAAAGAAATATGGAAAAAAATAAAAATTTCTCCATACCCATTATTTTTAAAAAAAGAAAATTAAAATTTTGGACCTCATTCTTAAAATTCTGGATCCGCCACTACGTCAAATGAAAGCTAGAGGAAGGACTTGTATGTTTTCTATACATCCCTACTCGAGAACAATAAGCAGATTTCCTAAAAAGGGAAATCAACAAGGGGCAGTCTGATTACTTGACTTGCAACTGGGTATGGAAGACATCTTCAAACCAACTAGGGGTAAGTGTTGGAAGAATTAGACAAAAAATATATAATAATTACAAATTTGTGTAACTAATAAATGTTGGGATTTCAAACCAAATTTGTAGAATATATTGAGGATTTAACTTGTTCGGTTCTCTGAATATTTTAACACAAACAGTTCGACTAATTTTAGCTTATTAAAGCATTATAGAAAATAAGGAATGTTAAAAGCTAAAAAACCATCAAAAGGATAATACCTTCCAGCAAGAAGCTGAGCAGCAGACCCCTTGGAATTTCCAAACCGCTTGGCCCGATTTTCATGTTCTTTCTCCACACGCATTGAAGCAAACTCTTTCTCCATAGAAGCTACTTCTCTTCTCATCCTTTTAGCCTCAACTTCCATTGCCTTTGTCAATGTTTCCACCTTCTTAGCGAGCATCTGAAAAACACAAGGATTATTAGGGCATTATCCAGTAAGATAGATTAAAATAGTTTTGGACTGAAAGAACATGAGTATCAACCTCAATCGCTTCATCCTTATCCTTAAGGCTAAGGTCTTTCTCGTGACCAGCTTTCCTCAAAGCTATGACCTCTTTTTGCAACAAATCATACAATACCCCTGGAACCTTATCCTCTGCATCGTCTGACTGGAAATTATTAGGTTTTTCCTCACTCGGTGCCTCACCCTTTCCCTCAGAAAGCTGGTTGAATGAAATATTTGAGCCTGCTCCATTTAGAACCACTTTCGCCCCATCTAATGATCTTGTGCCACCATCAAATGATTTGGATGTTCCTTTAGCATGCTTCAATACTGTAATAGATGAGAAAGATGGTCTCAATTGAGAGCCTGGTGATCTCTTGGATAAAACCCCATTGGGTGTAGATTTCGAGAAGTTATCAACTCCACCAAGAGACTGACGCCTAGAACGCCCATTGCTCACACTTCTTCCATCTGATGTACTGCGACTAACATTGTTAGAAGATCCTCTCAAGCTGTCTTCTAAAACTCTGAGCCGCAATTGATATTTCTCCTAGAAAATTAAAATAAAATCTCTTATTCCAAACCAACAGCATCAACAAAGAGAGCGGAATGGTAATTGTAGCAATCAGATTATTACTTTCAACTGTGCTTCAGATTTTGCAGTTCGCTCAGTTATGGCAAGCTTGTCACGAAGTTGCTGCATTTCTCCCTATAAGAAAAAAAGTCCATAATAAAGACACTACTACTTTAATGGATTTATTCAATGGAGAAACCATCCACCAAAACCTGCAAGAATCTCCGCTCTTCTAGCCATTGTTTTACAGGCATCACTTTGTCATTGGCATCTTTCCACTCATTTGCAACAACTGTGGCCACTCTATTAGCACTTACTTTTGCACGTGCCAGCTCTCGATCAATAATTTTTCTTTCCTCCTAAAACACCAAAACAAACATTCATTTTGAGAAGAAATTTAAGACAATATCACCAAAAAGGAATCAGGAAAACTCAGATATTTAAAGGCTTAGCACATTACATTCATCTCCTGAACTTTCCGCTGGTAATCCCTTACTGCATTTGCAGCAGCACCACCAGCAAGAACAGCCTCTTCCAGCTCCCTAACTGTTTGTGTAAGCTTTTCAACCTCTGCAACCTTTTGGCGATGCATTCTATCCAAAATTTTGTTTTCTTCCTACCATAGACAGGTCATAGACATGTGACTTCCTTCATCGCATAGTGTACAGATTGAAGAAAATTTATATACCTCAATTCTGGTGCACCTGATAAAGGAAATGCAAAGAATTATGGGAATACCTGGCAAATTTCTATCTGCTTCATTAACTCCTGATTTTTATTTTGGAGATCATCTACCATAGATGCTTTTGCCAAAGCAATCTGTACGGTCCTTTCAGCATCAAGTAAAGCTGCTTCTTTTGATTTAGTTAGGCGATCAAGGGCTCTGTTATCATCTTGAAGCTTTGCAATCTGCAGAGAACCAAAAGAACTAATCAAGGAGAAAATAACCAATTGCATATAAGTTTAAGAAAGCAGTCTGTAATTCCCATTGTGAGACAGAACCAACAGTTGAATGGCAGCAAGAAATACCTCTTCCCGAGCAAGCTTCAGCTCTGCCTCCAAGGGTGCAAGAATGGCTTCAATTGGAGGCATATCATCATCCTTTTGAGCAGCATGAACCCTCCGCAGTGTAGCCTCAGCAGCAAACTGAGCAGCCATGGATGCCTTCTTCTCATCATTTATTTTCTTGATTTCAAGGTTCTGGAAAACATGTTTAAGAACTAAATATAGAATCAGAATAATAATATGGCTTGAAAAAAATTCAAAGCTATACCTTGCTTTCCAGAAGAGATTCTGCCAGTTTAAGCTTCTCCTCCATTTTTGAGATCTCATCAGTGAGCTGTAGTAAAATCCAGATATAAAAAACAAATTCAGTTTTCACCTCAGTAATAAAAAAATGTTCACAAGAATTCTTCGGTCATGATCGATATAAAAAAAATTCAGATGTGTCCAACACTGAAAACTATCAAAAATTTATATTATATATTCAATTACTGCAAACAAAGGTTAATATAAGTTTTCCCAAACAAAGCCTATATTTGAGTACTACAAACAAAGGTTAATAAATTACATAAACAAAGTTTATATATGCAAGTGTGTTGGCAAGTGTTGAATACCTCTTCATTAGATAAAGATCATGAATTTTCCCAAACAAGACTAGAGATCATATGTAACATGTAGAAAACTAAGTCATAAGCCAAAGATAAATAAATCATGAGATCACATACTAACCTAAACCCCATCAGATAATTAAATTTAAGAAGAAATTTTGATCTAATAGGAAAACCATCACATGTTCTAGATGACAGGTAGTTGTAGACATGAAACCTTGTGACAGCTTTAATGGTTACAAATCAAACACTAACAAAAAGGAATGGAAGTAACTGAACATATGCAGAAAATGAAATTAATTTGTCATAATCTATAAGTTTAAAATACAAACAAACAGGTATTTTGAGGAAACCTGAAAATGAAGTTGGATAAAGCATCAAAAAATGATTCATGCTGTTAGATGAGACAGCCCATCACCGACTTTCTAAAATTACCAAGTAATAAATAACACTGATGAGAACTCCACCAAACAAAAATTCCCAAGTTCGAAAGAACAGTTATGCACAAGAAATTGTATCTCTCATAGATCGTGAAAACAACTTTCCAACCATTAGAAGGAATAAAGATTTGCTATCAGCATTGTAGACAGAGGCAGGCACAACTATTTACAAATAGAATATACAGGATCAACAACAAACAGATTATGTTACTCCGACTTGGCAATAAGTGTCAAATAGGGGATGTATCTGGCACAAGCATCTTCTTGGAGGGTCATCTCCCCAATCAGATGTCCAGACACCACGAATATTTCAAGAAAAGATTGAAGAGCAGGAGCAATATCGGAAACAAGTCCTTCTTCATCAGTTTCATATTTTTTATAAAATAATCCATCATCTCTAAACTTCAACGAATTGATTTTTCATTCCCCTACCACAACCACCCCCCCCCCCCAAAAAAAGAAATGAATATCAATTAACATGGAGAAAAAGAAACAGCGGACTTTCCACTGAGATCGGACATAAATCAACAATAAGAAAATTTTTAAAATATTTCAAAAAAAATACTACTTTAAATACCACTATCACTAAGGCGTGTTCACTAATTGATTTATAATATAAACTAATCCTGATATATATATATAATTCAACAACCTCTTCGACAGCCTTTTCTCTGAGCCATTCAGACATTCTTAATGCTTTAATTTCCGTTTGTGCTTCTCCCAATTCTCTGTTCTTATCTGTAAAAATAAAAAATCGAATTACTAAAAAAACCGTTAACTGTTTACTAAGAGCAGCTAAACTGAACCGACTCTAGGCGAAAAACAACTAGTTCGAGCCACATTCCTTACCTCTCACTTCATTCTCCAACCGATTAAGCTCTACTTTCACCGGATCCGATCCATGAAGCAACGTAATGAATTCATTATCCGCATCGAAGCTAGTTCTAGCAGCTCCTCGACGAACCTTTCCCTCCACTCTCTTAAACGAAACCGACACCGTCAAAGGAGGAGGTGCTCCCGACGTCGTCGAAGTCACCCTCACCGGCGACTCAATCCTCGCATTCCTCGTAACCTCCGCCACTTCGCCGGCAATCTCCGCCATCTCCGATCGGAACTCTTCCTCTCACCAAACACAAAAACCAACAAAAAAAAAGAGAGAGAGAGGAATTCTTTGCAGAGAGAAGTTAGCTTTCACATCTAAACCTTGAAGTGGATCCAAAATGAGAAGGTTCTAAAAACAAGTTGAAATACAACTGTTGAACAGAATTCAGATATAGAAATGAGAGAAAGTGAGAAAGAGTTGTCTTTGAGCTGGGAGATAATATCTTTTTCTCTCTCGATTGTGGATTTAAAAATCTGGTACGAGTTAGGAAAGAGATTAGAAACTAGAAAGTGAAAAAAGTTACATTCACCAGAAAAATTAGAACATAAAATGTATTCCTTGAATTCCATTTTTGCAATTTCTGGTAGCTTGCGTGTTTCGGTTACTTTACCCATAGAGGAAAGTTTGGATGGAAAATATATACTAGGGTAACTTTAAAAATGGACACAATCTTAAATTTTAAAATTAACCACCAATACTTATAGGTTGAATTGGTCAAATAATCCAGAAAATTTATTTTATGATCTAAGGTGAATGTTACATTGACCATAAATCTCGTCATACTGGTGTGACGAGTTTCATAAGATATATGTTTTTAAAGATGTCACGTGAGTCCTACAGTCCAAATTATTTTAATATATCTTATGGGCATGATGTGTCTCAATAAAAATAATATTTTTTTGAATTTTTAAAAGTATTGAAAAAGTAATATTTTATTTCTGATGGAACTCGTCACGTCGGTGTGATGAGTTACAACGGGTATAATTTTGAATTTGTTGATTGGATTTACCGTTGTTGACCGGGCAAATTTTTTTTGAAAAAATTCAATGGAACTCGTCACACCGACGTGACGAGTTCTAACGGTTATTTTCAATTTGAAAAAAAACTAGCCGTTTATAGTCGTTGGGTAGAGTAGTATAAATAGATGTTTGAGTTGGATTGATTTTTTACTTGGAATTAAATATTTTATTGAGAGCAAAAACTTTTGTGTTGAAGATTGTGTTAAAATGACCTCAAGAAAAAAAATGTTACGTTTTGATGATGTTCATATTTCGTCGATCGAGTTGACTACGATAAATTTAATTTGTTTTATTTTATTTTAGTTTTGACAAAATTATAGTATTAATAATAATTATTTATCTAATTGTATTATTTATTTTTAAATTGTAGCGAGAAGAAAGAGACATTCGTCATCGAGGAATGACGAATGAAGAGTCACATCAGCGGATGGTAATTATCTTTCACGATCCGGATTATATAGAGTGACATTTCTTCGCAGATTTAAGGTGATGTCAGCACTGATATCGACATTAATTGATCATTGGAGGCCCGAAACACATATGTTTCTTTTCCTTGTGGTGAAGTGACGATAACATTGGAATATGTCACATATCAACTTGGTGTTCCGATTAATGGTATACCATTGGTGCTTCGCAACACTTATTCACTAAATGTTGTTATTTCAAATTTATTGGGAAATGAGGCTCCAACCGATGTCATTGATGGGTTGCGGATACGAATGACATGGTTGAAAAAAATTTAGAGTAGATGAACAATCAACGGAGAAAGAGGTGATATATGTAGCTCGAGCATATCTTATGACGTTGATTGGAGGGATCTCGCTACCGGATAAATCGGGCAATTTGGTACACACTCAATATCTTCCGGTAATGGAGGATTTTGATGTATGTCACCAATATAGTTGGGGTTCTACAATTTTGACTTTTTTGTATCGAGAACTCTGTAAGGTCACCGTAGTTGTTAGAGGAGAAAAAGTGGATATAGCGGGTTGTTTAGTTTTGATCCATTCACGGGAGTGATATCATCTCCCATTTATTACGCCTATTACATCCGCTCCTATGGAGTTTCCTCTAGCCGCAAGGTAAATTCATATATTTAAAGTTTTGATATTTTATAATATTTTTTAAATATTTTGAAAATGACAATAAATAATGTAATTTTTTTTAAATGGCGACATTGAATAACCGATACAAAGTTGTCGGGTGCAACCAAAGTAGATAGTCGGATGATGATTGATATCGTCAATAGACATGCGATAAATTTTAATATTTTTTGCATTAACTTTGAAATTGTAATATTAATTGTTTAATTATACTAACATAATACTTTTGACAGTTTAATTGGATGTCTTATTACGAGTCGGATATCCAACGGTGTCTACTGCTAATGTTCTTTGAAGGAGTGGAGACATGGTGTGCCGTAACACCATTGCTCCATTTCACAATTATTGAGATCCATGTCGCCGATAGAGTTTTGCGACAATTTGAGTTTCACGAACCGATAGAAATGTCAATATTTAACATTGACGATTTGCATAAAATAGATGCGCGTGGGAATCATAGCGAAGATTGGCCGAGGAAGCATGCTATATTCATACATCAATGGAAAAATAGACATTTACGATTACCTAATCGTTCCAAGGTACAACCCTAAGATTTTGATTTCAATGTTTCTCCATACCTCCAAAATTATGAAGTAAATGGGAAACCATACTTGACAATGCCAGATGAGCGGTCCGAGTGGGAAATAATGAAGGCAAAATATGAAAAAAAATCATCATCATCTTCATCTTATGCTTGTGCCAATTATTATTCATCGCAACAAAGTTATGGTGGATATGGTGCATATCAACCATCGATGGAGAGTCGAACTGCGTGGGAAGGAAGTGGGTGGAACCAAGTGCCACCTTCACAACAAATTTCCTCAGAATCGGAAGAAAGAGGTCCATGGGATCATCTTCTTCATCACGGACAATCTCAATTTGAGGCGATAACGTCAATGATGGTGTCAAATACCTTGAATACTCTATCGTTTTCACCCAAAAATGTAAATCAAAATGGTAGAGTAATGTTCAGTACACCAAGACGAAATCGATGAGCACTACGTCATTACTATTCTATCACTCCTCGACATCGGCAAGAATTACGCAAATATAAGTAATAAATTTTTTTATTTAAGTTTTTGTACTCAATATTTAATTGTAAAAAATCATTGATAAGTAATAAAATTTAATTACAAAAATTTCATTCATATTTAGTGCAGTTTATAAAAGTATAAGTAGTATCGGTGCTCCTTGAATGAGTATCAATACTTTCTTTATTATTTTTAAATAAAACTAGTTGTTACTAGTCGTTGGTGCTAACGGTATCGATAATGCGACCATGGTATCGATATTACTATGTAAAGTTATATCGGTACCCCTTTGGGTATGGATACCTATTTTGCATTCTGGAATTTGAGCAAGCTCGTAGTATCGATACTACCTAGATAGTATCGATACTTATCTTACTTAGGGTATCGATACCATATGAACAATATTGGTATTGTTCATATAGTATCAATACTGTCATAACAATATCGGTACTTCATACGTGAACTTTGAATTATTTTTTGAAAACTTTTAAAGACTTTGGACAAATTCAATTAAGTCCAAAAACAATTTTCCTTAATTTGTTATATCAAATTATTACAAAAAATGGTTCAACATAATACAAGTTAAAAAACATAGTTAAAAAAGACAGAGTTGCAGTACAAAAAAATACATAGTTAAAGTGTATAATATTTTGTAACGCTTATTTTAGCATCTATCTCGATATTTTGGAAGATATGGGCAATGTTTTTTGCTATGACCTTCACCTCTACAGTGACCACAAAGTTTGGATAGACCTGACTTTATCTGAGGATCATCCATATCAGTATGAATTCGGCTAGATTTAGGTCGACCTTGTAACTTCCTACGCAATTGAAGATTTGGCAACCATTCCTTAGAAATTGTACATGTAGGCCAGTATGCTTCATTTGGGAGGTACTTGAACTCACAACTGTAAATGTTGCGCATAGTGTACAAGCTATAACAATCATCTCTATATAAGTATGGGTCAACATGGATGTTCAACCATACAACAACAATGTGAGTGCATGGGAACCTAAAAGCTTGAAATCGACCACACTTACACCATCTTCTATTCAGATTACCAGTTTATGTTGTAGAATTACCTCCCTCATGTGGTCGAACTAGTTCTTGGACAACAAAATCAAAATCAAGTATGGAAAAATTATGGACAAACATCGATGTCGCATGTGTTTGATTCTTTTGCATTGCCTTCTCTAAATCTGGAGCCCTATTTCTCCCATCTTTGATCATAACATCAATTTGTGCACTTTTGTCTGCCCATACTTTACCCAACCTAAAGTAAGTCTCCCTAACAAAACTTGTTATAGCGAGATGTCGAGTCGCTTTCAGCACTGATTTGATACATTTAGCAAGGTTGGTAGTTATATGGCCATAAAATCGACCCTAAACATCATATTCTTGTGACCATCTTTCCTTAGGGATTTCAGCTGCGAATTTATACACATCGTCTCTGTATCTTCTCAAATTTTCAAGTCATGCATGAGGTTGAAGTAAAACATACCTTAAAAAATAGTAAATTAAATGTTATTGAGAAATAAAAAAAGCATAACTAAAGCATAAATAATTAATGAGAAATGATATAATACTTACCCATGTTGATAATCTCATTTTTGATATTTTCTGCTTAAACGTATACAATAGGCAGGATATGCATACGGAGGAGATCGATTTGAGATCATACAAACCCCATCTTGGGTGACAACATTAGAATGCAAATTGGAGAGAAAAAAATTTCAAGTTTCCTCCAATTCATTTTTAACAATGACAAAGGCAATAGGGAAAATATTTCTATCTCTATCTTGTGTAACTACTATCATCAAAATGTGTCTTATAGCCCATACAGAAAAGTTCCATCGACTTGCATAATTTGTTTGCAAAATCTAAACCTTTCGATAGCTGACTTAAACGCAAAAAACAAGCCACCGAAAAATCTCTTCCCGAATATAACGTCTCCCTCAAGCGTGACTGCAGGATGAGTATAGTACCTAACAATGGTTCCAGGGATGAAAATTTTCATTGTTTGCAGCAAACGTGGTAGCTCATTATATGATTGATCCCAATCACCATATAACAAGGTCATTGCTTTTTGTTTAGCCATCCATGCCTTGTAATAAGTTAGAATATAACCAAATGAATTCCGAATGGATGCCACTAACACAAAAACGAGCATTCTTGGATTTTTTTCCCATCAAAAGCTTCACATAAGAGCATGTGACATCCGAATCTAAATGTATGTGGTATTGTGTCAA